ACTCTGGCCTCTCCAGTGGTCAACCCAGATAACATGTGCTTCTGTACAGACCCGGTGATCAGCAAAAACTGCACTACAGCAGGACTTCTCGACCTCACTGCGTGTAGAGGTCAGTGCTTTGAGCCTCTTATAAAGTCAGTTGAGACTAAAATGTATTGAATGCATAAGTCCTTCAAAATTTCATTTGTGAATTTGCCCATAGGAGTCCCAGTATTCCTCTCTCTACCCCACTTCCTCTATGGCTCCAATCATCTCATCCAGTCAGTGATCGGACTGAGTCCAAACCCTGATGAGCACTCCATATTTTTGGACGTGGAACCGGTGAGGAGCTCATTTCATTTTCTTTCTATAAAAGCTGGAAGCTTGGGCATGATATGATAATATAATGGTCATACATCTTGTGTCATTTGTAGATTACAGGTTTCACAATGAGATTTGCAAAAAGGCTTCAGCTCAACATGCTGTACGGGCCATCGGATGATATTGTGTATGTAAATAGAGATCCCACATTGTCATGAATGCCTTTGCTGAAATTCATAAATGCCTGGTCTAACATGATGTCTTGTGTATGTATTTTTTCTCACAGAATTTTGAACAAAATCACAGACCACACAGTTTTCCCTATTTTGTGGGTGAATGAGGTGAGTGCCAATGAAGCATCTATTTAAAGTCCAGCTGAAGCATAAGAGTCCAATAAAGAAACCAGGGGCCTATTCACAAAACATCTTAAGGCTAAAAGTAGCTCCTATCTTCCTGGGCCCGTATTCATTAAGAATCTTAGTGCAAAGAGTCGCTCCTAGTGACAAAACTCTAAGAAAATTCTTAGAAATGTGGGAGTTTACTCATAAATTAAAGAAAAAATCCTAGTAAAGAAAAAAGTAATTCTGAAATCATCTTAACCCTTAAAAGAGGTCTTAAAGGAGTAGTTTACTTTAAAAAAAAAACTTTTGCTGATAATTTACTCACCCCCATGTCATTCAAAATGTCCATGTCTTTCTTTCTTCAGTCGAAAAGAAATTAAGGTTTTTGATGAACGAATCTTTTTTCGTATCATTTGGTTCATTCAACGAACGAAATGAGCGAATTGACTCGGAAAAAGATTCGTCCATTTTGATGAACGAGTTCGAACAGGAGAGTCACAAACGCACATCACAGAACAGAGCAAGGTGACCATATATTGACCAGGTGACAAGGTGACCATGAGCTTATAAAACTTAAACTTTTCTTCTTTTTTTTTAAATGATCGATCGTTTCGCTTGATAAGACCCTTAGTCATCGTCTGGAATCGTTTAAAGCCCTTTGAACAGTTTGCACTGAAGCTGTCTTTTGGACCGTTTGGTTACCAGTAAAGTGCATTATATGAAGAAAAATCCTGAAATGTTTTCATCATTCCAGGGGGTGAGTAAATTATCAGCAAAAGTTTTTTTTAAAAGTGAACTACTCCTTTAAGGTCAAAATTGTTTGGAGTATGGACGAGGACTTTTAAGAGGCTTTTAAGAGAGTTTCTTTAGCAGAGGAGAAAATGGCAGAAAGACGAAGAGGGAGAAGAAATGTGTTGCAGACAATGGATGACAGTGAGTTAATAAGATGTTATAGATTGAAACCCGGCCCGAATTTTCATTTAAAGATGGCCTTAAAGTTCATTCACCAAATTGAGCTAACAATAAACACTGCTCCTCTGTCCAGTCGGGCTTCGATTCCATGTTTGTACAGGCAAATGTTTATAATATATGCAAATGTGATGTGTATAGTGCGTGATTGTACGCTGTGGGTTATGAATATAGCCTTTAGATAGAATAAGCCCTATCTAGATCCATTATCTCCAATAAGTACTTTAGACCCATTGGGACCAACTGAGTAATTTCTGAAATCTTACATCTGATATATACGGATTTTTACGGTCCATAAACCGCTAATCCCACACATGCTGACCCATGGACCATCTGATTGTCTCATCAGAGCAGGATTAGGTGCCGCCTCGCTGCTGACTATAAGATTTGTGTCTCTTATTTGTGTTAGACTGCAGTCCTGGATGATGAGACGGCCGACATGTTCAAGAAAGAGTTGATTTCTCGAATCGACCTGCTGGAGGGGTTTCAGATCGGACTTCTAACGGTCGGCTCCATCATATTTGTCAGCTGTATGATCGGATTAATAGTGGTGTGCGAAAAAAATAAGAATCATAAAACTGGTTTGATTGCATAAAGGGAGGGATGCTTGGTGCTTTGTGTCTTTGATTTTTGATCGCACCCTTTGGGGGAATTGTATAGTGTAATTGTTATTTGAGCTCAGAGTATCGCAATTATGTTTATATCATTTATATACTCTGCAATTTTGAGGAGAAAAATTATTTACTTTGTATTTGCTTGATATTGTATCAAGTCATACTTTTAGTAGTTATCAGGGTGAATATTCTGCCATTATGTGGTCATACTGTGGTTGATTTAAATTTGAAATAGTTTTGTATGTCAGCAGAATTCCAGTAAAACAAAGAACTGTGAAACTTAGCCTCATTGTTTTATTTCTTTTTTTTTTCCTGTAATTCCTTTCTGTACTTTTTGCATAGTAGTTGCTTTATACATGTCTCAAATCACGCATCAAGTTCTAGCTTCCCATGTGTAAGAACAACCACCAGCCTGAAGAACAGAGAAACAGAAGAAAATCGGGAACAGATTTCTCTGTTATATCCTGTAAATCCATACGATTTATTTTCCACTCTCCAATGGCCGCTAAATAGAAATGGGAGGGTTTGTAGAATAAGAGCGAGGCCTGTGGTTTTAGTGGGTCACTCACAGGCTTGTTTAATATTAAAAGTAGGGCTGGGAGCACCCTCTCTCTGCTTTATGAATTATGAAGCGCCACTGGTTGTGGTTTGACCTGTGGATTTTGAAATGGTAAAGGCTAGAGTGAACAGCATGCACTTTGTAAGACACACTTGGAGACAAATGTTCATAATGTGCATAATCATTAAAAAATAATAACATTCTGATAACTTCACAAGTTATATTGAGGCCGGCATACAATATACATTATATACACCATATTGATAACCGGTTGGTATTTGTTGGTAATAGTATATAGGCCTACTCATTTACCATGTTTTTTACGTCCATGCACCATCTAATGCTCACCCAAAAGCGATCTTTAAAAACACTAATAATTGAATAACAGCGTTAAATGTAATCTTTATTAAATCTCAAAATAAATTATGTATTCATTTCCAAAGCTGTACCTATATTCACTTGTAAACAATTAATTTTAGTATTATAATGTTAAGATATCATCCATTTACCGGTATCTGTCATTATTATTGTAAAGCATTTAAATCAGGCGATTAGGAAAAATTACTTTTAATGTTATTTTTATAATATAGGGTATATATAGGCTAATTATAATATCGTAAAACAGTCAAAGCAGACTACCAGAGACAGGAAATGTTATATTATTTACATACGATTATAATAACTAGGCTATACTGTAATATTACACAAAAATATTGTTGGTTTAATTTAAAGTAACCTCGTTGCCTTAAAATTCCGAGTTCATTGAAATTAAAAATTTGAAAGTTTGAGTTAATACAATGAACAAAAGCACAAATGTTGTGATAAATCATGAATATATATATATATATATATATATATATATATATATATATATATATATATATATATATATATATATATATATATATAAAAGACAAAGTCGATATTGGCTACGTTTTTGCATTTTATAACAGCTGCTGCGACTCTTAACTGTCCGATGTTTACTAATCTCGCGATAACTCTAACTGTTGAACGTCACCTGCTGTAACCAGGGCTGTAACCGGTAGGCTATGGCATGAGTTTGATGGTCAATTGTACAATTGCAGTCTAATTAATCGACAGCAAATGTAATACCTGAGTGAAGATGACCATAAACTGACTGGAGCAGCTCCGGTGGAAGATGACTGGATCTAAAACTCTGTAAGTAACCAAAAATACACATGAAAACTCAACAATAAGTTACGAGGCGACGGCGCTTTCAACGTTACGTTACGTTACGTGACAAACAACTGTCCTGCACGGTTATGTTCACACAACATTTATAAACCGAACATTCCTGGGCCATAAAGAATCTTAGTGCAAAGAGTCGCTCCTATTGACACAATTCTAAGAAAATTCTTAGAAATGTGGGCATTTACTCTTAAAATTAAAGAAAAAATCCTAGTAAAGAAATAAAGTAGCAGCTAACTAATTTAGAGAGTGTCTTCTTAAGGATGGCCTAGTGTTCATCCACTAACTGGGTTAACCACTAACAGCAAACACTGTTCCTCTGTCCAGTCAGGCTTTCTCGTCCTTCTGGGTTTTGATTCCATGTTTGTTACATTAAAACCAACATTCAAACCACCACTTAAATAGACATGCTTGCTATCAGTGTAATTGGAAAGAGTGGACATTTTTTTTTTTATCATTCGAAGGCAATTAAAAACCTTATAGGAAATTAACAGTATAAAAAAAGGATTTATATACACATTTATAATGTGTGTGTGTGTGTGTGTGTGAGAGAGAGAGAGCCAATGGTAAAATAGATAAAATGTTGCATGTAATTTCAAAGTCGATGCTTATAATGGGTTTATGCACGGCGGTATTTCCGGTGAAGGTTTAGTCCAATGCAATAACGAGAATATATATTGAATTTTATACTCCATGGTTATACTAAGTCACAAAAACAGACAAAACAGACACCCCTCGTTGTGTTTATGCTTCTTTTTAAAATTATATTAAATAAACATAACTATATATAAAATTACATCTAAACGTATGAAAGTTTCGTTTCAAAGACGGTTTTCCTCCGCTTTACTGGAGTATCGAAACCATTATTTACATCGACCGAGCACATGCATCATTCACCCGTAAAGGTAATGGGCGTGAATTTTCCGGATAATGTGCATCACACAGTTTAGCCAATCACAACACACCGGCCGAAACTAACCAATCTCTTGTAAAGAGTCCTAAAACATGACATGTTGAAGTTGTTTAATTGTTCAATATCATTAATAAATAAGAATACACGAATCAAGACATTTAATAAAATAAAAGTATCATTAACAATCACAGGGAATACAGCATATTTCTATAATATTAAAACGTTATTATATCGTTACTCCAAATGCCTTATAGAGAGCACAAAATGCCACAGCAAAAAACAAAAACATGAAACTTCTGCAAAATGCAGATTAAGTCCAACAACATCCTAATTTTGGCATAAAAATTAAATGTGAATAAAATGCATCTAATGGCAATACAGAAATCTATTGCAAGTTTGTCATGTTTTTGAGCTTTTAAACTATTTACAGACATTCAAAATACAAAAACAAAATATAAGTTACACAGACATCAATCCAAAATTGTAAGCTGTACAATGCTATACATCATATTAAATAAGAGACAATCATTGTTCACACTGAGCAAACCAGAATTCATTAACATCATCAAACACGTGTCTGTATAACAATGAAACAACATGCATGATCACATGCCTCATTAGGCCTATCCTTACGTGATTTAAACACCATGGTATTACTGGGGCTTATCAAATAATAATAAATCTGCTTTAAAGCCTATTCATACCAAGCATAACAATAAAGATAAGTACTGTAGAATAACTATATTAGTGTCCACACCAACAGACGGTAACATTCTGTTTTGGCATCTGCCACTTTAAATGCTCAACCTCTTTAAAGCTGGATGGATTCTGATTGGCTGTCAATGTTGTTATCATTAATCAACTAAAATTAAATCTGTATCTTTATTGTTATCATTATAGTTATTGCCCTTGGTGTAATCAGGCCTTTAACTGATTTATTGTGGTTCGGTATACCATGTTGATAAAAGAGGAAAACATGCACATACACCCACATTTTAAACCAATAGTTCACCCAAAGTGAATTAATTTACTCTTATGTCATTCTTTATTTCTTTCTTTCAGGAAAGACAAATGAAGAATATTCACACTTCTCTTCCATGCAATGAAAGCATGACCAGTGACTGTTAAGCTCCTTAAAGTCCTGCGTGTTTGGAAGGTCATGAGGGTGAGTAAATGAACTATCCATAAGGAAGCAATTATGTATTTGGATTATTGATGTTTCTCAAAGCACACTGGGCAAACATACAACACTCTTTACAGTTTTATGGGCTCAGAGAGCCACCTGTCTGGTACAGTTTGAAATGTCTCCAAACCATCTTCTCTTCCCTTATTGAACTTCTGCGGTGCAGCTAGGCTGATGTACTTTGGTCAGTGCGTCCAAGAAAAATTCTCATGATCCATTCAGTCACAATAAACAATTCATTTGTTAGAAAAAAAGCTTTTTATACTTTACTTAAGATGAGTACGTACTTAAAAAAAAGTGCCAAGATGATGTACCAAGAAATCCAAAATTAAAATTGAAATGGTGTGACGTAAGGTCAATTTCTGTTAGCTTTGAGTTAGTGTTTGTCTAAAAGTCAAAACCGCTTTAATATTCTCATGAAATTCCTTTGCTTCTAATCCATTTATTTAGCTTAGAAGCTAATGTTTATGTGCATCCAAATGTTGACAACTTTTAGCAACTATATGTACCTAGAAATTCGAAATGTTCTGTTGGCATTCTGTTGGCTTAGATATTAATGCTAGTGCTAGTTTACACAACATACTCTCATGACCCATATAATATAAATTGTATATTGTAAATTGTATAAATTGATAAAAATTGTATTTGATATGTAGTACTAGAAACCAAAACTGATTTTTTTCTTTTCGTTTTAGTCTATGTCTGTTAGCTTTGAGGCTAATTCTAACGCTACTGTACTCCTAAAATTTGATAATATAAACCTTTAACACATATGCACATTTAAAATGTACAGTCTTTCTCTTTAGGTAAATAAACCAAAAATATTAATGACTCATCTTGAACTCAGGAGCATATGCTTCATTTTGTCCAATCAAATGCTCTTTAAAATGAGAATGTCCCTGTGGTTGGTACCACCTGCCTTTGGCTAGCTTTAGCAAAAATCAAATAATGGCTCATTGCTGTGACATAAACTAAAGACTATTGGCTATTAAAAAGAATGAGCCGTTAGATATGTTCCAACCCAGCTTCCTGTATCAAAAGAAAATACATCAACACAAGAACAAAATGTGCTTGTCAAACCATTTTGCTGGGTCTTAAATGACTTTGCGGTACTTTCTGGTTTGTTTTGCACTACTGTATGACAAATGGCATCTTACATTATGTAGCATGAAACACAGATTAGCATGTGTGTGTGTGTGTGTGTCTGAGGATTTCTCATAGTCTTCTGCTCTGGCCTTTCCTCTGCTGTACAGGAAGCACCTGAGATGCTTTGAGCTTGAAGAAAAAAAAAACAGTTAGGGTTCATATCGGAGGAATCTTCTCCAACATTCTCCTCCTCTTTTTTCCACTTGCGTTCTCTCCTGATGCATGTCTTTATTCCTTTTCATCATCTCTACATCCATCTCCGTCCACTATATTCCACCTTTATTCCTCTCGTAAGTGGTTCCGGCGGTTCCTGCTCTTCCTGTGGTCCAGCAGGGGTTTGAGTTTGCCCAGATCGCCTCTCATGGGGCTCTGTATGTTCTGCAGACTCTGCATCTGCTTGCGTTCCTTGCAGTATTGGTGCATGGCCAGCGTCTCAGCCGGGCTGAAGGCCGACACCAGGGCCTTAGGGTGCAGTGCGGCTGCCCAGCTCCAGGGTGACTGCTGTTTATTGCTCAGGGCGCTGACCAGAGCCTCGCTCAGAACCTGGAGACGAATCTTAGCCAGAGTGCGCTTGAAGCCATTCTCTGTTGCCAGACAGTAGTACAGGCCCTGGTCTGAAGAATGCACCGAACGAATGAGCAAACCGTGATTGGTGGACACCACACGATCGCTCAGCTTCACCTGAAGAAAAGAATGACTGGTTAACGCATGGGTTTTAAATGCTAAGCAAATACTAAAGTACTTTAAAAAAAAAAAAAAAATAAAAAATACATTTGAATCTCAAAATGTATAAAATATCTGCTTATATACTATTTTGCTTGTACATGCTTAACCCTCTGGTGTTTTTCTGTAATTTTTGACCGAAATATTTGACTTTTATATATATATATATATATATATATATATATATATATATATATATAAAACAATTAAATAAAATATAAATATATTACTATTATATAAATTATTATATAAATATTATATTAATATTTATAGAATTTTAATATTTTTTGTTCATTATATTATAATATTACTATTTTTTTATTCATGATTAAATTATTCTAAATTAAGTAAAAATACACAATTTGTATTTTCTAGTGGAAAGGAAGTCCTTTTAGAATGTTTACATTCTGAAAATTGTCATGTATTTTCTTAAAGGGGTGGTTCAGGATTTTGGACATCGGACCTCATTTCCAAGTTAGGCTGGGTGTTATTTATCAGTGGAGACAGTTTTCAAAAAAAAAATCATCCAGTCCTTCCAGTTACATAGTTCGCCAGTGCTAGGCTAGCCAGACTATCGGTGTAAATGTCTGTTGAGAATATAATGTTAGAAATCAAACTACCCTTTCATCGCATTGCAATAGTTATACTTTGTTCCTGCTATTTATTAGCACAGTCTACAGCAGCGGCGGAGTGATATTAAGTTATCTAGGCAACCGAGAAAGGTAGCGAGAGAGAGAGAGGTAGTCCCGACTGTAGTTCGCTTCTGCTCTGTGTTTACTTTTCGGCACAGTGCTACTAACCGGAGTAAAGTGAAATTCTGCCGCTGCTGAGAAACTAGTTCCTGTAAATGCGATCATTGAGAAGCAAGAGTACTTTGATTTCTAACATTATTCTCTCAACAGACATTTCGATAGTCTGGCGTTATAATTTATTTGCTTTTGGTGCTGTGGAGTGGGTTAAACTGTTTTTAATAGCATAATGTTGTACAGGGTTGTCTGACCTCTTTCCTGCGATCGTTGTCTCTCTGGATGAGCCATTTAACCGAGGCCTGAGGAGACTTGGGCTGACACTCCAAGAAGGTGGTGTTGTTTTTGACTCCATACTGAGTCATCTCCACTGCATTCCTGTAGGCTGAAACCAGACAGCAAGTGTTAGCCAGTTCTCTCACACACTTGGTGAATATACTAATTGTACTGCTGTTATTCAGCAGACACGCTAACATCTGCAGATCATGATGGGGTCCGAGTTCACTTAGGATGCAGTGAAATATGTTATGAGGAGTTGTGGGCCAGATTAGCGTATAACTGGATAAGTAACCCTGTACACTGGCCAATGATATCATACATTCAACATCTGTGTTGACTTTATGCTACTTTTGTTTTGTGCACACAGCTGGGATAACGCTTTCACTCTTCGTTAAGACTGATATTTATTAATTCTGATGCGTTCAAGTGTTGAACTGAGTCATCTGGATCACTGACAGCATCAGTGCCAATTGTATTCAAATTAGCAGGTGTTCTGAATCTGGTCCCATGACAGATTCTTTCACAAGGACAGAGAGACTGAGACAAACAGAGAGAGAAAGAAGGAAACAAGGGTGATGGAAGAAGAGAGAGAAATGTGTGAGGAATTTGCACAAGATAAGCACTGAAAGTATGCACTTCATTGGGAAATTATAGTATGTAGTATGTAGTTAGTTTTGGAAGCAATGGTATTGGAGATGCTAGTATTGGAATACTACGTCAACAAATCACAAAATGACTTTGTTGCATGAGCACGTTAGCATTAGCATTGGCTACGATCACGTTTGAATTAGCATAATTACAAGATGACAACTTGGAGATTCTACTCTGAGCTGTTCGAAATGATTAGTTTCTATGGCAACATTCATAATGCCAAAATGGATCCATTTGTGGCTGTTGTTGATGAGCAAAATACTTAGTCACTAGATTGATTCACCTCTAGATGCTCTTGCAAAATGTTTAATTGTGTGTCCTAACCAGACGAGATTTAGTTTCTAGCAATAAGCAATTCATACTCGCATTCAGAAGCAAAAATCAAGCACAATGTGGCACAATCACAGCCAATCTGAACACACATTTGTGTAGTACAATTTTAACATTGTTAAATGCAAATTTTCTGTGACAAGTTTTGTAAAATCCACGCAGTTCTGGAATTGTGCATTCGAGTGGAAATTTCCACAAGCTGATTACGCAACAGGTTGGCCACAGATTCACCGCATTGACTAACTGAAATACTAGGACAATAAAATAAATTTTGTTAATATGTCCAGCACCCCACCTGTTCAAACCACTGCCAGATGATGTTGAAGTTTCATGAGTTTTCAACTAGTTATAACAAGTTTAACCAAATAAAGTTGCATTCATGAAAAAAAAGCAACAGAAATAGTCACAAATATAGAGAGATTGTCATATTTTCAGGAAAAAGTTGCAATTATGAAATTATGAACTCACAATTGCTATGTTTCAATCCATCTATTTCTATGCGAATTTTGGGATATCGTATAAAAAAAAGCTTGATAGAAATGCCAATATGCGCATTAATTCCAAAAATATGCATAAAAAACGTATGCGCTCAATTGAGGCGGATAATTTTTTATCCAAGCAGACGTACATTAACTAGAAACAGATTTACCGAGTAAATCCCTTGATGCGCAAAAAAAAAAGGCACGTTACTGGATGTGATTGGATAACTGGACTAACCAGCATCTCAAATGTTGTTTTAGTTATACTGAAATGTGTTTGCTAAAGTCTTCCGAATGGTATTTGGTATAATGACCCAATTCGATTGCTAGGGGAAAAAAAGGAGTAACGTTTTACAGCAAAAGTTAACAGAAGCATCTCACACAATTGCCTTCACAAACACCAGGCATATTGTGTTTCGTCTTTTAGCTCTGAGACGCAAGTCATTTATGATGGAAGATAGAAGAGCCACTGTTGCTTTCCCAATTGCAGTACCCTCCATTTTTATTACAGAAATTTTCCACCAGTTACCCAGGAAGTAACAATTTTGTTGTCCTGAACACATGCGATGGAAAAAGCACTTTATTGGCAAATGTTATGTGACATTCTGGTTTTGCCCATAAAATAAATGTGCACCTTTCGATGGAAAGGTAGCTAAATACATTTTAATATAAAAACTTCTACATAAAAAAAAAAACTGTTTTCAAACTGCTTACTGAGAATCTAAATTCTCATCTCAGCACATTACTTTAAGACATTATTTGCTTAGCCCAAGTGTTGATATACAGGTAGTTATTACCTTTCAGATTGAACCCTCTGCACTGAGTCAGTGGATTCCCATGCATAATATCCTGCCTTCTGCTTCTCCTGGAATAACATTTACACAGCATTAATCCAACATATTTTCATATATGCATTCTTTCCTTTCACTCTTACATTCTCTCACTTTATATCAACATCTCTGTCTGAATGTTTGCACACTTTACACTTTAAAAAACACACTCCTTGTCATGAAAGTCAAATACATTTTAGCTTAATTTCTCCCAATTAACATGATTCAGCTGTCACAAGTGCAGTGGAGTGAAATGTCTGTCTTTTCCACTTCATTACTTCGGGAAGGATGTTTTGATGGGTGTTCCTTCCATCAATATTTTCATAACTCAACACATCTGACTTCAAGAGAAACTGTTTAGCTAAAGTATCAGATTATTTTTTAACATGTCCCATTCTGAAACAATCCACAATGTAAATACATGTGAATATGCAATATGTGGGCTGTGGACTGGATGGTTTCTGAAGTGTTGCCACACACAGTTGCCAAAGTGTCATGAGTGTTTTTACTGTGTTGCTACGTGCTAGGGTGCTACAAGGTGTTCACTTACAGGCCCAAGTCTAAAATGCCCACCCTCAAATTTCTCTACTGTCAACATCTAGTCCCTCGAAATGTCTAAGGCTTTTTTTTAAATGTTTTATCGTCTGTCAGAGGAACATCTTAAGCCAGAACTCTTTAAAATATAATAGTGTCTAAATTAATTTTAATATGTTGGGCTAGGGTTTTTTTTTCATATCCCACAAATAATTGTCAGCCCAGACTGTGTGTCTGCAACTAAATGAAACCAAATCTGTCCACCACATTTATTTCTGCTCCACTGCTGCTGCAATTTGCGCCACCATGAGTGTTAGTCCGTGTGTGTCGTGTGTGACTGTGTGTACCTCTTGCCAGTGAGGTAGAATCGAGAACAGCTGAGTCCATCCCAGGCGCAGTACGGGTCCCGCGCTAAACAGCAGTCTGCACAGGCAGAGCCGTATGCGTCGCAGCGGTGCAAAGACACCTGGGACACTCCGTGCTCAGAGCTAACATACAGCTGTTGCTGTAACGCAAACAAGCCACATATCACAAAAGCTGCTCCTTTAACCCACAAGACTGGTGACACCATAATTACCCGGAATTAAAGCAACCATTTCCCCTGCCACAATTTATTGCCACCCCCACTTACTATATGTAGCACTTAGTCAGAAAATGCAGCTAGATAGAAGAGCTACTAATTAAAGTTACCTTTTTAGAAGAGATTCTTAGGTTGGTGATAGGAGACTGCTTCTGAAAATCAGAAAAGGAATAGTGTCATTTTTTTTGTCAGGATATTCATTTATTAAAAACAACGCACATTATAAATACAATTTATGCATACAATACCTATTCCTATGAATGTATCTATTAACATGTTAAATTTTTTTTTACATTTTTGGTGGACAAAAAGGTCAAGATGTAACTCTCCTGAGCTCATAAGAGATGGAAAAAAAGATGCATTTAAAGGCTCAAATTATTCTTCCTTAAAAAGAAACCTGGCATTGAGTTTTTTATTTATTTATTTTGAACTGACAGTAGTAGTGCAAATTACAGTTTGTTCAACCTAGCGGCAATTACGTCTTACGTCATCAGCGTCACTGAATGCATATTGACAACAGAACCGGAGGAGAATACAATGATGAATAAAGTCGTAGTTTTTGTTGTTTTTGGACCAAAATTTATTTTTGATCCTTCAAAACACTCTTAACTAACCCACTCTAACTAACCCAGTGTCAAAATGTCACTGGTACATTTTCAATGGAGGGACAGAAAACTCTCGGACTAAATCTAAAATATCTTAAACTGTGTTCTGAAGATGAACGGAGGTCTTACGGGCTTGGGACGACATGAGGGTGAGTCAATGACGCAATTTTCATTTTTGGGTGAACTAACCCTTTAAATAAGAATACGTTTTAATTTAAATATCATCATTTTTCTGGTGACATATGCCAGACTTCTATCTTAGGCTGCATTTACACTGCAGGTCTTGATGCCCAAATCTTAAAACCGTGCCTCCTCATATCTTGTGAAATGTCTTCAAACACAGATTTATTTCTGTAACAACCCTGCATTTTTACCAGCACTCTTCGCCTCAAACACTCAAAAGACATGAAACCTTCACATTGCTCCACTGTGTGTATCCTTTGTCCTCCATCTCACCCTTATTAAGTCATGTCATCTCAGTTGGTGGTGTCTATCTGAGTCGATGTCACTTTTTTAATGACGTACGACTCTCATTTACTGGGAAATATCTGATTTGTATGCTTACATGGCACAAATGCACGTATCTGATTCATATCTGATTTTTTACCACATATGAGTGAGGCCTGAATCCGATCTGAGAAAATCTGAATCCATGCGATTTTTTTTTTTCTGCTTACACGTTCACCCGTCATATCCGATCTGTGCCACGTGAGAGGAAAAAATCGGATTTAGGTCACTTGAACCATGCCAACCTGACATCATGACTTTTGCGTAAACATACATGCCACTTTCAAGTCAAGTGGCGTGTTATCTATTCGCATTTTGAGCTATCCGCGTGTATGTCTACGCCATTAATGTCTGAGTGATCCCGCGTGTATGTAAACGCTGTTAAATGTCCGAGCAAAACGAAGCAAAATGTAGATCTACATCTGGGGAGCGATATTTTTATTTTTTTATTTTTCTAGGATGGTAGGGGAAGACTCATAAATTCTATTAACCCCAGTGACGAGTAGGTTTAGGGACGGGGTTGGGGTAGGTCATATGTTTATATAAACAGTAATGTAATTTTAAGTCAATGGCGTTCATAAACATGCTGAAAAGCCATAATGTGTGTTGATAGCATGCCAAAAATGGTCTGCATAGATCTGCGCCATCCAATCAACAGTACCCGCCCTACTCTCTTTTCTTTTCTATAACTGTTTTGCTCGAATGTATGTCACAATACAGAAGAAAAGATCTGTCCCTATTTCTGTTACATCGCGTCATTAATTACATTTCTAAGAACTGTTCATATGCATTTTAAACTAGACTTTTAAAAATTGTTTGCTTATTAAAAAAGGACTGTGTGTATGTGCAAGTGCAAATATGTGAGTGTGTGTTGAGATGCCAATTTAAACAATCCACTGAGGTGTGTGGCATTTCATGGTCCATAAATTGATGGTCATGATGCCTAAACACATTTTGATGATTTCAAGACGTCAAAGCAGATCATAAGAAACCTCACAATGTAACCTTTTCCTCACCTCAAGCCCAGCCTCTGTTCCCAATAAAAATGTGCCTTCGCTTAAAACAACATTGAGTTCTAATAAACGCTTTGTGGCACTGCCAGCTCTGCTCATGCAGTCTGCCCTCTAGATACTTTGATGTGTGACGTGTGGCAAGAACTCAGACCTTAAACACTTCCAGCTCCTCCAGGATTAGATCCTCATCCAGAGAGCCGTTTGACGGCAAAACCACGACCTTCTGTACCGTGCCTTTATCTGTGAGTGGAATATCAGAACATCAGAAGAGTATTGGACAGTCAGGGAAGCGAAAACAACCTCGTGAATTTAGTCTGAACTGCGAATGAACTCTCCATTGTTCACAGATTTTCTCTTTGAAAGCTTTTGCGTGTATCTGGGTTGGTATTTGATGTTGTTGACCATCTGCTCTGAGAAACAGATCTACATACTACACATCAGAAAAAAATATGAATAGTTTGCCAGGGTGTTCTGGGTGCTTTCTAGGTGAACTGGTTCAAGTCAAAAGAGGCTAGTCTCTAAATATGGCCAGTGCCCCTCCTTCAGTGTAAAGGGTTTTTGCCATCTGTCTGGTGGAAATTATTTATTGGATCTCTTCAGCTGTAGAAATGTTTTAAGAGATAAGTTTGCTGTCACTAGCTGCTAGTGGCATTAATTCTGTGAGATCATCTAGGTGTGCATATTTCGCTGAAGACGTTCAGAGAGAGGGTTGATGCTGGGGAATTTAGCTCAAACTCTGGAAATTCCCATTTTAAATGGCCAAAATTTCAAGACGAATCCCTGCCAAGGAGCAGCCAGGCCGCTCCGCAGAATGCTCCTGGCTTCCCATCAGGAATTTTGATAGGCAAATACAAACAGCTGTGATTTTGAAGTCTCTCCAAATGTCCCTATCCCCGTTCCCTAGTAACCGCTGAGCCTGTCTGCTGTCGTGTCTCTGATTGTGTTTTCAGATTTACAGACACTCACACTCTTTCTTTCATTCTTGCATACCCATCCCAAAAGCTGATATTATGTATTGGTCCTGTGACACAGCAGGACTCTTAATATCCTCCACTCAATATTGAATGGATAGCAAATAATATGTTTATAGTTAAATTATTAGGTTTTAAGGTTTGTGGAGACTCGTTGCCCCCTGGTGGTAGTTAGTGGTACACACATTGATGCCTGAACAATGTTTTAACTAAATTGAATTGTAATTGTAATTTAATCTTTCTTTTATAAACAGAAACCGGAAATAAATGGAAACAATAGTAAATAGAAAAGCCAAACCCCTATAAGTTTGCTGAGGCATAGTGAGTTATCACAATCCTGGCTCTCTGGTTTAGAGTAAATGCTTTAAATTTATAGTATAGAAATTTGTGGGACTATATAGGGAGAATGGGATGATGAAATGTTGTACTCTAGGATAGATTCAAACCTGTATCACCCACATTAGCGTGTATGTACGTGTGCTACAATAACTCTTGATCATATTATAAGACTACATCTACTGTAAATTAAATTTTATTAGGGCTTTCCTTTTAACACATTAATTTGGTTTGACTAATTATGAATAAAATAATGCATTAAAAATATTAACGCCTTTAATTCACTCCGACCCTGGCCCAGAACTGTACGTCATCTTACTTTGCAATGCATACATTTTAGTTACGAACATGATGCAGGGCAAGGACTGACTGCGTGATGAAGCTTATTAAAAATTTCGTTAAAATGCCTCTAAAGCTCAAGATATGAGAAATGTCTTATGTAATATTTTTGTGGTAACAGTAACACTCTACAATAAATGTTCATTGGACTATATAGTTAACATGAACTAATAATGAACTGCACTTCTACAGCATTTATTAATCTTTGTTGATGTTAATTTCAACATTTCAAATGTGTGCTTATTCCATTAATTTATTAAAGTACAGTATAATTTTAAAGTATAGTAAATGAAGTATAATTTTACAGACAAATCATTTCAAGTAAAACATCAGTCAGTAAAAGATTTTACAACTTTGTCATTTTAGTTAGGAAAAGTTAAGTGTGCTAGCTCCTTCCACGAAGATATGATCTGAGGTATTTGTTGAAATAAATTGTGGCACATTCTAAAAAAATTTTTTCATCTGGTGGTTTTAATTGTGAGTAGGTGAGAAGTAGGTCTAGCATGGTCATTTTTCTTGAGATGCGTGGTGCTGTGGGGCTTTACCTGTGCCGAGGAATAGAACCTGGTAGTGTCCGTCTGCAGCGGTGACCTGGTCCACGGCTATAGAGGTGTATTTGTAATCGGCATGCGTCCGCACCACCAGAGGTTTCCTGCCGACCGGGTAAATGGGGTTAAACATGATAGGGTGATTCCTTGCGAACGTCACCACATCATCTGGAAACTCTTTAGTACTCTGGATGTGAGGGGTGAATGCGCCACCAGGACACTGACAGGGGAAGGATAAACATGAGAAGATTAGATGATCATGCTGAAGCTTAAAACCGCTTTATTTAGTGAAGCTGTCACTTTAGTTGGGTCTTTTCATCAAACAGACTTAAACTAATGTGAGCGAGTGTTCGTCTACATGGACGTAATGTTATAAAATTCCAAAGTACTATTAATTTAAGGTTTTAAGTGGGGGTGGGTGTTTGTGTTCCTTTAACATTATAGTGGACATATTACCTATATACAATAGGGCTGCACGATATTGGAAAAAATTACATTGCAAAATTTAGTTTTTCTGCCGTTTATATTGTGATATGAAAACAATTTATACATTGCAGCCCTAATATATAATATATAGACCATTTCACAAGATGTAAACAACACCGGTCCAGAAACACTTCCTGTTTCAGTTTGTAACTCTTTTCTTAATTTCACATGTAAAGAAAACGTCTTAAAGATGTTTGTTTAACTTTTTGATTCAGTTTTATATGTTCTGTTGGTTGTATTTTATCCCAGCTTTTATGTAGTGTTAAAAAACTGAAACAGGAAGTGCTTCTGGACCAGTGTTGTTTACATCTTGTGAAATGGTCTATACACTTACATTTTATATAAACAAAGACTTTTGTGTGATGCTTTTAATTGCATTAATCGATTTGACAGCTCTAATATATATGTGTATATATATATATATATATATACAGTATATATATATATATATAATCTTAACTGAAATGATTTTTAACCATAATTATTTGCCTTTTTAACTAAACTATATAAACTCAGCTGAAAATAAGATGTTGATTATTATTATTTCTCACCCATAATTATTTGCCTTTTAATATAAACTGTGTAAAACACAAACCTTGACTCTGTTTAATGATGTTATAAACCGAGTGACTGTACCAAGGCAGGACATTAATGCGTGTGACTCACAGTTCCCGGTCGTGGGTAAGGGATTCGGCCCTGGAAAGCCACCCACTGGAAGTTGGGCCCTTCCCTGTGCGCAAACGGTCCGTTGAAGACCGTCAGGATGTCGGCCATGTTGTAAACACAGACGGCAGAACCTCTGAATACAGAACTGGAGGGAATAACACAAAACACACATATTTAACATGGAAGGAAGTCAGAGAGTAAAAGACGTTCTTGCACATCCTTTCTGACTGTTTGGATGGAAAGGATGATGTAACATGGCGACACTGGAGACTGGAGAGAAAAATGCCGCATAAAGGAAAGGGGACAGCACTTTGGTTACACTCTGGGATGAAGTGTGGTTTGGCTGGACATCGTACATTTTGATCAGACAGCAAGACAGAGATTCTTTGTTTGAACGCAAAACAAAGGGAAAGAGACGACATATAATGATAAATAACAGAGCAGGGCATATGGACAAAGAAGCCGTTGCTGTCTGTATTGCCCTCATTAGGAAAACCACTCCGGCTGAACGTGGTTGGAGATTGAGCCACAATTCGGAAACCTTGACCGAAATCTCACCTCATATTCAACCAGTGCTTGCATACAAACATGCAACTGCTGACACAAGTAAACATAGAAACCCACTGGAACAAATGTAATGAAATGACCCATAGGAAATATCAAAAATGAGATTTCATATCTGACCTGAAATGAACTGTTTTCTCCTAAACAATGAGATTTTGAGACTTTTGCTCCATTGGCCTCTCGGATCTTTGATTTTAGAAGAGATCGCAAGAAAATCTCAAACTCTGCTATACCTCATATGTCTCATACAGTATTAAAAAATGAAATGTTATGCTAGATGGCTTTTTTTAATTGCCCCTTAGAATGGATTTTCATGGCCACGTTTGACCTAATAATAAAAATAAATGTCATATAAAATAATAAAATATTTATAAACTTAAAATATTGGTTTAAATCATTAATTAATTTATTATAATTAAACCTATAGCCTAATTACATATTAGTGATAAATAATTAAAATGGGGGGAATTCAATTTTATGGTTCATGTCTGTCATTGGCTGTATTCTAATGTCTGTAACTAGCTGTATTCTAAATTTGTCACCAATTGTTTCATTTGTCTAAGGATTCTGTATCATTTCTGAGAGGTTACACCCATTTACACAAAACACCAATAGAGACATTTAAACTGGCTGAGTGACATTACACTGTCTCTCCCTCTTTCTGTCCCATTTAAATCATTCAGCGAGACCTCCTCATCATAATGTTAAATTCATCACAGTAAAAACCTATTGGATGACCCCCTGAACTAACATTAGATGCATGTTTGTTAAGAAGTGACCTTTCGCTCCCCTCACCACCCTTAGGTGTGATCACATGTTCCCAGAAACCCCGTCATCCCCTCAGCTTCAACCCCGCCTGACCTATCTTTGGCAAATACACACACAAAAACATGTGCATGCATATACACACATATTAGTGGCAAGCTCAATATTGCTATTGGCTTTACCTTGTAGAGGTGAAGACTCCAAAGATGAGGAGGCCCTTTGGGTGGTCCGTCTCCAATAAAAACACATTTTCTGGAAGAGAAGAGACAAGCACTCACTCAATCGCTGAACATCTGTCCCACAACATTGTTACACGGTTACAAGAATAAAACAGGTGAAAGTGTAAATCCATCATGGGCTTTAAACATCCCGTGTAAACTATTTGTGCTGAGTGTTTTATGATCGTAAAATGATTTTAATGAGGTGAAAAGCTTTACAAACGACCTAGGGCCATTGTTGAATGGTAGTACTGACAAACAACTCTTTTATGGTTAATGACCAATTATAGGAAGCTGTTTAACTAGAATGACTTAACGCCTTTGACTTAACATTATTACTGTATAAATATATGACCTACTCCTACCCCGTCCCTAAACCTACCCGTCACTTGTGTTAATAACATTTATGAGTCTTCCCCTACCATCCTAGGAAAAAAAAATATCACTCCCCAGATGTAGATCTACATTTTGCTTAGTTTCGCTCGGACATTTAACGGCATGTAAATACACGCGGAATCACTCAGACATTAATGGCGTACACATACACGCAAACACGCGGATAGCTCAAAATGCACATAGATAACTTGACTTGAAAGTGCTGTGTATGTTTAATCAAAAGTCATGATGTCATGTTGGTGAGAGAGAGACTTGGTAGATGCAATATCTGAAGTTCATGTCATAATTCCCATGAGGGAAAACAGCTAATAAATTATACTAAGTGATGTTTTTTGAAAATGTAAAAATTCAGAAAGTTTTTTGTGACTGGTAGGTTTACAGGTAGGAGAGAGAATATTCAGTTTGTACAGTATAAAAAGATTATGTCTATGGAAAGTCCCATAAATTATGAAATTACAACTTTTGTATGTCTGTTTCAGGGATTCCCTATGGTGTGGGGACAGAATTTTCCCACAAAAATAGTAATACCAGAAACATTTGGGTCATTTTTTGGTCCCCCATGAGGAAAAGGCTTATATTGTAGGTCACACATGTTTTTTAAATTTTAAAAATGCTGAAAGTTTTCTATGACGGTTAGGTTTGGGGGTAGGGGACAGAATATAGTTTATACAGTATAAAATCATAATGTCTTTAGAAAGGCCACATAAAACATGGAAATCCAACGTGTGTGTGTTTGTAGTCTTACCAAGCTCATCGAAATGGGTCTCGGTACCGTCTTCCTCTAGTACCGAACACACCATCCGAGCCTTCAGAAACGTTGTCCACTTGTTCACCAGACTGCGCTGACCACCAGTGTCATTCTAAAATAATAGTAATACATGTATATATTATAGAGCTAATGATATTAATACATTTTAAAGGGTTAGTTCACCCAAAAAAGAAAATTAAGTCATTAATTACTCACCCCCATGCTGTACCAACCCCGTAAGACCTTCGTTTGTCTTCGGAACACAAATGAAGATAATTTTGATTTAATTTGAGAGGTGGATCTCTGCTACCTAGGCTGCCTAAAGGTTCGAAACTTGGCGGCCCAGAAAGTCAATGAAGAAAATGTTAAAATATTCCATGTGACAACAGTGGCTCAAGTATAAGTTTATCAACCGACGAGAATACTTTTTGTGCGAAAAAAACAAACAAAAACGACTATTCGACTATTCGTCTCAGGCCAACATGGAAGAAAAGGAATAGTCGAATAAAGTCGTTATTTTTGTTTGTTTTTTCGCACAAAAAGTATTCTCGTCGCTTGATAAATTTATAGTTGAGCCACTGTTGTCGCATGGAATATTTTAACATTTTCTTCATTGACTTCCTGGGCCGTCAAGTTTCGATCCCTTATGTAGCCGTGATCCACTTCTCAAATTTAATCAAAAATATCTTCATTTGTGTTCTGAAGATGAACGAAGGTCTTACAGGGTTGGTATGGGGGTGAGTAATTAATGACTTTATTTGCATTTTTGGGTGAACTAACCCGTAACTAAAATAATTCTAAAATAATTAAACTAAAATAATTCTGATTGCACTCTGAAATAAAAAATCACGTTTTGCGTAACACACAAACTGTAACAAACTGACAAGATGCTCAAACACACAGAGACTTACAGGGCACACTCGAGCCACCATAGTGTGGATGTTCTTAGTGTTTCCACTACTGTCTGTCAGTCTCTCACGCAGGAAAAAGTAGAGTTTGGCGTCGTTTGGGTCTGAGCCGTCAGGAATCAAGTGGGCATCAATGAACACTGGCTCTAGTCAAAATAGAAGCATAACTACAGCTTAAACACTCAATTCGCTCTACATGAACCACAAAAAAGAAATACGAATATTGTACCCTCTCATTTCTCTCCTAAAAAATCAAACATCTCTGAATGGTGCTAATGCCTGAGTTTATGTGAAATTTAATATAGCTGTTGGCGAACTGAGATACCTGACCAAATATGTGCTTCAGTGTGTATATTTGGATAGTATCACACAAAAGATAATGTGACCCCTTGAGAAAACCTTTACGCATGTACAATATGTTTTCACTTTCCTGGTGGACTCATTGTAAACAGACTGTCCTGTCTTTAGTCTTTTTCTTTGATGTGGGCAAAGACAGTTTTTGCTGTGTGATTTGTGTATTATTTGACTGAAATGCCATGGAACGTGAACATGTAATTTGATGGCAGCTACGCATATAGAATTATTTGTAGTTTCAAGTAAACCTTATGAGCAATTTCCTGATTTAACAGACATAATGATGTAGATGGAAGAAATAACAAGTAGGGTTTGTATACCGCTCAGCCATTTGGAGTTATGTTGGTCTGTCCTCACTGCGTTTCTTGTGGTCAGGCTCCTGAAAATGGCAGCGTCTGTCCCCATGAAGTCGATGTACATGCCAGAGAACAGCTCCTGATCTAACCATAGACACAAACACAAACGTGTTCCACGGTTGCTGTACCGATTTTTTTCATGTTCAGTGAAAGATTTTCGTTTGGGAAAATGTTGTAGTTTAAGATCTTTGGATTCTATTTCTTCTATAATAATAGTGATTGTCCTTTTAGTTGTATCATATTCAGTTCCTCTTAAGAAAAAAAAGATTTTTAAAAAATAATTGTGGATGACACTTCAATAAATTCAATAGTACAATTTTAAAATAATATAGATGTTTTCGTGTTCACACACAAAGTCACACAGAACAGACTGGAACAGTTATGATGTCAAATGAAATAAATTAAATATTGATATAAAAAATAATAATTCTCTCTCACATCTAACGTAAGTTTTAGACATGAAAATGTGTAAATATACAGACTTATATACATATATATATAATATGTGTGTGTGTGCGCATGTCTGTGTGTGTATATAAGAGTATATATATATATATATATATAACATAAACATTTGATTGCACGCTTTAACACATTAACTTTGACATTAGCCTTGTTTTAAACACATTTATTTTGTAAACCTTCTGCATATAACTGTGGTTTCTGCTACTGGCTGAACGGATCTTTCTGTTGAATATGAGACAGGGATTTATTTTGGCTGTACATTTCTCTGCGGTGTGCTCTACTAATGACCTGCTCAAATCTCCATTCCCCAAAGCTCTCATTCCTTTCATCAATCCACTACTCTTATCACGTCATCACTCCATCTTGCTTGGTCCCGTGGTTGACTTGTACAACTAGGGCCAAGTGTATGATGGAAATTTGCAGACAGACGTCAGACAGAGAAAGCTGTAGGCATGTCATGTCAAGGACCGTCAGTCTTTGATGCCGTCTAGACGGTTAGGAACTGTTTTACTTAATGGAATAACCACTTAAAACCTTCTCTCATATACAGATGACTTAATGATAACCTATAGCATATAATATTTAGGTGTGCGTGTGTGATTTCATAGGAGAGTATATGTGGCACATGCAGTTAAATGGATAGATTTGTTTCTGGGTTAGCATAGTAAAATATAAAACTTGATGTTAGTTTAACTTGATGAACTAAAATAACTAAATCAAATAAAAATGAATAAATAGTATGTAGAGGTGTGATGATACACAATGTTGAGTTCACAGGAAAAGGATGAGACAATATTTTAACACTAATTTTAAGAAATCTTCAGTGACGAAATATACGACTGGAAAATAGTCTTTTACTCGACTGAAAGACGCAAAATGTAAAACAATGGAGGTGCATTTTGAAATGTTTTAACAAATCATCTTCTAGTGAAGGTCACTTCATTAGAACGAAAAGATAGAACTATATAATGCAAGCATTGTAAATGGTTTTGCCACAAACTAAACTCTGTCATGCTGATATTGCAAGACAGCTTTTCATGTCACCTAGAAATATTGAGATATTTAGGTGTAAAATATATACTATATATATATATATATATATATATATATATACAGTATATATATACTGTAATATATATATATATATATATATATATATATATATATATATATATACTGTATATATATTTAAAAAATGTCAACAATACTATATCAGTTATGCTAAAATAGCACGGCATGTTTATATTGCTGTTCCGTGAGTGTGTGTGTGTGTGTTTGTGAGTGAGTGTAATGTAGCCCAAGAGCTGTGTCAACAGCAACCTAACACCAGCTAGCCAATTACAGATCAAAGGATTAAGTGGGCGGCACTAAGCGACCCAAAGTTGTCACATCGGAAGGGGAGCAGACACCCACAAAATGTGGGTGTTTGGTGACGCTATGGGGTCATGAACAAAGAGATCATAGAGAAAATGAATTTGAGTAAGTGTGCAAGACAAAATGGCACCTGTGGATAAAGACACAATAGACGCCAGCACTCACTGAGCATGACCGAGACGGTGTTGACTTGTGGGTTGAAGGAGCACCTCCCTTTCCCTGATTCTGCTCGGGAAGAGATCTGAAACACTTGCTCCTGCCAATGACACCAAAAACACACACAAAATCTTCATATTCTTCGAATTTCACAATCACAACATTATTATAGTATCAACTGTTTCAGATAAACCTGCCCATTAAGCCACGTGCATAAACATTAGGACTGGGCAGTGACAAAAATTTCACGATTAAATTATAATTTGATTTACAAGCTTGCGATTCAATTCCATATCGATTCTAAATCTATTCATTGGGGCCTAAAGATAAAAACTATACAGCAACCCCAGTTGGTACATCACTGTAAGATTAAATATGATTTGTAGACTACTTGCGTTTAAATTACACATAAGGAAGTTTTTTTATAATAATAACGTTATTTAATTATGATTTAATTATGTTTCTACTCTTTTTTTTTAAATATATAAACATTGTTAATGGTGGCTGCTATAAAAACATGAATATTTATTTAAACATGCGTTTAATATTGAAGAACAGATTAAATACAATGTATTATATAATATTTATATAGTGAATATATTTAACAAAATGCTATTATTTTAATTTTGTAATAAAATTGACAGTAATTGAAAGCTGAGACTTTTTCATATCAGAAAGCACAAAGATGATTGAGATTTATAGTGTACGATGTAAAGTTTGATTCTTGGGTTTTAAGAATCGATTTCAGTTCTTCAAAATGAGAATTGATTAAAATAGAGAAATCGATATTTATTTCCACGCCTAATAAACACAAGAATAAGCTGCAAAGTTGACCAGACTTAAGGCTGATAATCAGATCATAGACTTCATAAATATAAATAAATATGCTCTTGCTATCATTTTATCCCATTTCCCATCATCAGATCCATTCTCAACTTTCAATTTGATCTGAAATGTTTCACAGCCAATCTATATAAAAGTATTTCTGAGTAATTTCCTAGCACACATTTGCACTGCACTGGTTTTGGAGAGCTGCCTTTGTTCTGATTGGTTGGACAGACTTGCCCAGATGCTTCCAGGTTTCCCACTGTCGGGATGTTGGCCAGTCACGTGAAGTGAGAGAAACAGAGACATAGAGAGCCTCCGTCAGGACATATAGCCGCTGCTGCTAGAGCTTCTCATTTATCACGAGGACGCGTGTGTTCATTGACTAATGTATTGCCTCTTTGCATCACACGCAACTAAAGAAACAAGTCACATAGTGACTCCAGGGTGGCCCTATCATTGTTATGTCACAAAGCTAAACTGCACACTTTTAAAGGTCACAGGTCACCCCGTTCTGGAGTTTTCTGCTCCTGTAATAGTCCAGCTGGTGTGCAGCCAAGAGAACTGGACACGGGTGGAGGGTTGAGAGAGTAAAATGCTTTTCAAACAAAAAAAGAATTATAGAAAACAAGCTGCTGAACTCAGATGACTAGCAGTACTAACTCTACTCACATCTGGTCTTGCCTGGTCTCTCTTCCTCATTTTTTGTTCTATTTTTTTTCTGTTTTAGTTTCATTTTGTGTTATCTCATCTGGTCTCACTCTCATCTATTTATCTTCTGTTCTGGTTTAATCAAATATCATCTCACTTAATTCATTTGATCTTGCCTCATCTCATCTTGTCTCTTCTCTTCACCCCTCCTTCCTTTCCTTTCCCTTTCTTTTCTCTTTCTCTAAGCCCCCCCGTCCACACTACTGCATTTTCGTTTAAAAACGGATAATTAAAACGAGTACGATCTCTGTATTACAATTGATCTCCATCCACATTAAAACGAATGAAAACGTGGATCACGTGACCATCACTGGGCATGCTCTCATCTCACCTCGTCTTTTCTCGTCTCTTGCTTGTTTCATTTATTCTCCTCTCATCTCACCTCTTCTTTTCTCATCTCTTGTCTGGTTTTGTCTAGTCTCCTCTCATCTCACCTTGTATTTCTCTTGTCTGGTTTTGTTTAGTCTTGTCTCATCTCACCTCGTCTTTTCTCGTCTCTTGTCTGGTTTTGTTAAGTCTTGTCTCATCTCACCTCGTCTTTTCTCATCTCTTGTCTGATTTTGTCTAGTCTCCTCTCATCTCACCTCGTCTTTTCTCATCTCTTGTCTGATTTTGTCTAGTCTCCTCTCATCTCACTACTTCTTTTCTCGTCTCTTGTCTTGTTTCATTTATTCTCCTCTCATCTCACCTCGTCTTTTCTTGTCTCTTGTCTAGTTTTGTCTAGTCTCCTCTCATCTCACTACTTCTTTTCTCGTCTCTTGTCTTGTTTCATTTATTCTCCTCTCATCTCACCTCATCTTTTCTCATCTCCTGTCTTGTTTCGTCTAGTCTCATGTCACCTTGTCTTTTCCCATCTCCTGTCTTGTTTTGTCATGTCACCTTGGCTTTTCCCATCTCCTGTCTTGTGTCGTCATGTCACCTTGGCTTTTCCCATCTCCTGTCTTGTTTCGTCATGTCACCTTGGCTTTTCCCATCTCCTGTCTTGTGTCGTCATGTCACCTTGTCTTTTCCCATCTCCTGTCTTGTTTCGTCATGTCACCTTGGCTTTTCCCATCTCCTGTCTTGTTTCGTCATGTCACCTTGGCTTTTCCCATCTCCTGTCTTGTTTCGTCATATCACCTTGGCTTTTCCCATCTCCTGTCTTGTTTCGTCATGTCACCTTGTCTTTTCCCATCTCCTGTCTTGTTTCGTCATGTCACCTTGGCTTTTCCCATCTCCTGTCTTGTGTCGTCATGTCACCTTGGCTTTTCCCATCTCCTGTCTTGTTTCGTCATATCACCTTGGCTTTTCCCATCTCCTGTCTTGTTTCGTCATGTCACCTTGTCTTTTCCCATCTCCTGACTTGTGTCGTCATGTCACCTTGTCTTTTCCCATCTCCTGTCTTGTGTCGTCATGTCACCTTGGCTTTTCCCATCTCCTGTCTTGTTTCGTCATGTCACCTTGACTTTTCCCATCTCCTGTCTTGTTTCGTCATGTCACCTTGTCTTTTCCCATCTCCTGTCTTGTGTCGTCATGTCACCTTGGCTTTTCCCATCTCCTGTCTTGTGTCGTCATGTCACCTTGGCTTTTCCCATCTCCTGTCTTGTTTCGTCATGTCACCTTGGCTTTTCCCATCTCCTGTCTTGTTTCGTCATGTCACCTTGGCTTTTCCCATCTCCTGTCTTGTGTCGTCATGTCACCTTGGCTTTTCCCATCTCCTGTCTTGTGTCGTCATGTCACCTTGGCTTTTCCCATCTCTTGTCTTGTTTCGTCATGTCACCTTGACTTTTCCCATCTCCTGTCTTGTTTCGTCATGTCACCTTGTCTTTTCCCATCTCCTGTCTTGTGTCGTCATGTCACCTTGGCTTTTCCCATCTCCTGTCTTGTGTCGTCATGTCACCTTGGCTTTTCCCATCTCCTGTCTTGTTTCGTCATGTCACCTTGGCTTTTCCCATCTCCTGTCTTGTTTCGTCATGTCACCTTGGCTTTTCCCATCTCCTGTCTTGTGTCGTCATGTCACCTTGGCTTTTCCCATCTCCTGTCTTGTGTCGTCATGTCACCTTGGCTTTTCCCATCTCCTGTCTTGTTTCGTCATGTCACCTTGTCTTTTCCCATCTCCTGTCTTGTGTCGTCATGTCACCTTGGCTTTTCCCATCTCCTGTCTTGTGTCGTCATGTCACCTTGGCTTTTCCCATCTCCTGTCTTGTGTCGTCATGTCACCTTGGCTTTTCCCATCTCCTGTCTTGTGTCGTCATGTCACCTTGGCTTTTCCCATCTCCTGTGTCTTGTGTCGTCATGTCACCTTGGCTTTTCCCATCTCCTGTCTTGTGTCGTCATGTCACCTTGGCTTTTCCCATCTCCTGTCTTGTGTCGTCATGTCACCTTGGCTTTTCCCATCTCCTGTCTTGTTTCGTCATGTCACCTTGGCTTTTCCCATCTCCTGTCTTGTTTCGTCATGTCACCTTGGCTTTTCCCATCTCCTGTCTTGTGTCGTCATGTCACCTTGGCTTTTCCCATCTCCTGTCTTGTGTCGTCATGTCACCTTGGCTTTTCCCATCTCCTGTCTTGTTTCGTCATGTCACCTTGGCTTTTCCCATCTCCTGTCTTGTGTCGTCATGTCACCTTGGCTTTTCCCATCTCCTGTCTTGTGTCGTCATGTCACCTTGGCTTTTCCCATCTCCTGTCTTGTGTCGTCATGTCACCTTGGCTTTTCCCATCTCCTGTCTTGTTTCGTCATGTCACCTTGTCTTTTCCCATCTCCTGTCTTGTGTCGTCATGTCACCTTGGCTTTTCCCATCTCCTGTCTTGTGTCGTCATGTCACCTTGGCTTTTCCCATCTCCTGTCTTGTGTCGTCATGTCACCTTGGCTTTTCCCATCTCCTGTCTTGTTTCGTCATGTCACCTTGGCTTTTCCCATCTCCTGTCTTGTTTCGTCATGTCACCTTGGCTTTTCCCATCTCCTGTCTTGTGTCGTCATGTCACCTTGGCTTTTCCCATCTCCTGTCTTGTGTCGTCATGTCACCTTGGCTTTTCCATCTCCTGTCTTGTTTCGTCATGTCACCTTGACTTTTCCCATCTCCTGTCTTGTTTCGTCATGTCACCTTGTCTTTTCCCATCTCCTGTCTTGTGTCGTCATGTCACCTTGGCTTTTCCCATCTCCTGTCTTGTGTCGTCATGTCACCTTGGCTTTTCCCATCTCCTGTCTTGTTTCGTCATGTCACCTTGGCTTTTCCCATCTCCTGTCTTGTTTCGTCATGTCACCTTGGCTTTTCCCATCTCCTGTCTTGTGTCGTCATGTCACCTTGGCTTTTCCCATCTCCTGTCTTGTGTCGTCATGTCACCTTGGCTTTTCCCATCTCCTGTCTTGTTTCGTCATGTCACCTTGTCTTTTCCCATCTCCTGTCTTGTGTCGTCATGTCACCTTGGCTTTTCCCATCTCCTGTCTTGTGTCGTCATGTCACCTTGGCTTTTCCCATCTCCTGTCTTGTGTCGTCATGTCACCTTGGCTTTTCCCATCTCCTGTCTTGTGTCGTCATGTCACCTTGGCTTTTCCCATCTCCTGTCTTGTTTCGTCATGTCACCTTGGCTTTTCCCATCTCCTGTCTTGTTTCGTCATGTCACCTTGGCTTTTCCCATCTCCTGTCTTGTGTCGTCATGTCACCTTGGCTTTTCCCATCTCCTGTCTTGTGTCGTCATGTCACCTTGGCTTTTCCCATCTCCTGTCTTGTTTCGTCATGTCACCTTGGCTTTTCCCATCTCCTGTCTTGTGTCGTCATGTCACCTTGGCTTTTCCCATCTCCTGTCTTGTGTCGTCATGTCACCTTGGCTTTTCCCATCTCCTGTCTTGTGTCGTCATGTCACCTTGGCTTTTCCCATCTCCTGTCTTGTTTCGTCATGTCACCTTGTCTTTTCCCATCTCCTGTCTTGTGTCGTCATGTCACCTTGGCTTTTCCCATCTCCTGTCTTGTTTCGTCATGTCACCTTGGCTTTTCCCATCTCCTGTCTTGTGTCGTCATGTCACCTTGGCTTTTCCCATCTCCTGTCTTGTTTCATCTAGTCTCATCCCACCTTGTCTTGTTTTGACTTGTTCCATCTCAACTCTCATCTCCCCTCGCATTAACTCGTCTCATCTCATCTTTTCTCATCTCTTGTTTTGTTTCATCTAGTCTAGTCTCGTCTCATCTCACCTCGCCTTGTCACCTCTCGTCTTGTTTTGACTAGTTTTATCTCACCTTGCCTTATCTCATCTCTTGTCTTGTTTTGGCTAGTCTTGTCTCATTTCACCTCGCATTAACTTGTCTCTTGTCTGGTTTCTTCTAGTCTTGTCTCATCTCACCTCATCTTTTCTTGTCTCTTGCCTTGTTTTGTCTAGTCTTGTCTCATCTCACCTCATCTTTTCTCGTCTCTTGCCTTGTTTTGTATTGTCTTGTCTTATCTCACCTTATCTTTTCTCGTATCTTGTCTTGTTTAGTCTTGTCTTGTCTCATCTCACCTCATCTTTTCTCGTCTCTTGTCCTGTCTTGTTTAGTCTTGTCTTGTCTCATCTCACCTCATCTTTTCTCGTCTCTTGTCTTGTTTAGTCTCATCTCACCTCGTCTAATTTATCTCATTACAATTAATTGTATTGCTCTTGTCTCTTAATTGGCATGTCTCGTCTCATCTGGTCTCTTCTCTCTTTTTTGACCACTAACTAGTAACTACCCTCATTCCCATTGTGGTCTAAATTATCATGGAGGATGTCATATCAAAGGATGGATGATGTATGACATTACAACTCAGTGGTAGATTACAGAAACACATTTTTGCTAGGAAATTAGGGCAGAATGGGCTTTACTGTCCATTTTCCAATACAACATTTTGAAAATATGAAGCAAATGTAGTAAAAATGAAGGTGAAGCTGAATTAAATCTGACCGTCTGACTGCTTTACATTAGTAAGTGTAAACTGACCTCAGGACGCCTGCCACGGTTAACATATCCACACACTGGGCTGTAGGCTCCACTGCCGCAGATGAACAGATGCGTCCTGTTATAGGGCTGGATTACTCGTAAGAAGTTTCCACATCCATGCTGAGGAGAACAAAAGAAACCGAGATCAATGCTTTTGATCCTAAAAGTTATATTACAATCTGATTTTACAATCTGATTTTAAAGTCATTTAACGCTGATGCTACAAGAAAGCTGACTTCTTTCATTTTGGAAACTGAAAATGGCAATTAAAATTAAGACGACTTGTATCGATCCAAACCTATAATTCAGGAAGTGAAAGTTTATATAGGTCAGGAATTCAAGGCCTATTCAAGGAATCCAGGAAACCCAAACTAAAGTGTTGCCAAACCAAATGCACAAGAAAAAGAAGGAGAGAGGGATGAGTCAAGTAAAGAAAAACTGCCAGGGGAGCAGTTAGGAACTTGGCAAAGTGTGTCAACTCAAAACAGCAGCTGCATGAGCTCTCGGTTAGCATGTGCACACACACTTCATGAGCAACTCCAGGAAAATAACTGGACTTCCAACAGCACACACCCCACCATCCACTCCTCCCTTTCACATGTTTGTCATTAATATTTCTTTTTCTGTGGCATATATCAACATTATCCTCTTCTGGCTTGTAAACGTTTTCTTCCGCAAAGGTTGAAAAGACATCTTGACAGCTCACGGTTCATGTAGAGATCAGGCAAAATTAACAAGAGTAAGCTCTATAAACATGTCTTAATATCATTTACAGCTCTGTTAAAGAAATGCCTCAGTGTTTCCCAAATGATGGCGATGGATTCGGATGACATGAGGTCACGCACCGTCGCTCCTGTAGCTGCTGATGATCCTACCAGGGGATAGGTATGGGGTGTATCCCTGTGAGGGAAGGGAAACCTAACAAGGGGCAACACTACAGATCCATTGATACAAATAAAACGTTCAGGAAAATATGTGGTGTAAACCCTAGTTTCAACATGCACACTCATTTATGGAGGGAAAACAGACCCTAGGAAGGGCTCAAACACAAATATTTGTGAAAAGCAGTGCTGGAAGGCTAAACTGCATATTTCACTATGTGGCGCATTGCTCTGTAGCCCCACTGTTAAAGTTATTAATCCACTGTATTTCTACAATTGATGTATCTAGTGCTGGGGGAATTTTATGAGAAATTTTAAGTACATTTCTTTGGCATTTTTCACCCTAAAATGAAAAGCAAAAGAAATAAACATTTAAAATTTTTTTTTTTTAATAATTTTAGATTTATTAATTTATTTGCATTCTGGCATTATTTTTTATGACAAATTAAGTGCATTTTCATCCATTTGTTTCCAGAAATACTCAATACCTCACTGTAATTTATAAAATATTATGTTATTTCTATTCATAGATCATAGATTCAAAGAGTTGGAATGCTTTAGAATTTTATAGAATTTTATTTATAAAATCATTGTGCCTGCCGATATATATATATATTTTAAACAAGTATGGAAGCTCTGCCACAGAATACAAAAAGGTAATTATTAATTTTTATTTCACATTTGATTTATGGAGTTCAATTCTTAGAATTGTGAGTTTATTTCATGCAATTCAGACTTTATAACTTGCAATTGCTTTAATCGGAACGCAAGAACAACAAAAAAACATTTCAAAATGCACCTGCAGACTATTTTTCCAATCATGAAATTTGTCATTGAGAATTTCTGAAAAATTGTGCAAAAATCTTGTCTCGTTTTCGTGAACCCAATCCTGTGTCTTGTGAGATAAGTGTCTCGTCACACCCCTATGGCATTTATGGTAAGCGTGTTAAGTACAGTATTGTTCTTTGGCCAGCTGAGAACATTAGTCCAATCCTCCATTTTACTTTATTCTAACACACGTAATTAATGACACATTGTGACCTCCCATCGCGCTTCAGACAACATCTATACAGCTTTTACTCATGGGCACTGGGGCAAAAACCATCTGTTTCTGATCCAGCCATGACTGGTAGAAATTGGAATAATAAAACTTTATTTTGAATATACCCATGCATCTGTTCCTGATCCAGCCATAACAGTTAAAATTCGAGGTCTAAACACTGATTAAGAATCAGCTCATGTTTGGTGCTCTTTTGATTGATTTGGGACAAGTTTAATTAATGGCTGTGATTGTAGGGAGAATAATGCTTGTGAAAACAGCTCACTGGATGATCACTTCACCAAGCAACAGACAAATAGGATTTGAATCAAGAATGCTGCTGCTGTGTGTGAATCTATCTGAGGCATACAAAGGTGGCCAACCAGAACATGCAAGGAGTTTAAAAGTGTCAAAGTTCTTACTGTGGGGTCTTTGCCAGCCATCTGACACTCCTCGACTTTACTGGTGGATGCCGGCCAGAAGATCTGATAGAGAGAAAATAGGAGGAGAGCAATGCAAGATTTTTAATATTAATGAAAAAACTTTACACTTGACCGTGTAGTTTTGACTTACTGATTTACGTTATAATGCACATCTAATAATGCTATTAGACAAGTTTTTTATATATATATATATATTTAATCAATTGTTGCCATATTGTAAAATTATTGTAAATTGTAAAATAGTATTGTTAAATTGACATCAAACCTGGCATGACACATCTTGATGCACCACATTTGATCGTATGCAACTGCAAATGAGATTTGGGAGCTGTGGTTTTCAGATATTCAGCTAAAAAAAAGTTTACACTAACCGTTCAAAGATTTGAGGTTTGTCAGGTTTTTTTTTTTTTTTTTTAATTGATGTTCATTCAGCAAGGATGCATATATATATATATATATATCTCTAAGTGCCATTTGAAATTTTCTTCTATAATGATCATTTTTATCAAGCTTGTATATTTAAGTTCATTAATTTGACTTAAATGGGAATGAAGATTACCTATGGATTGTTATTTAAGTGAAATTACTGAACTTAAATATACAAGCTTGATAAAAATTATCATTCTAGAAGAAAATTTCAAATGGCACTTAGAGGTTTTTTGCATCTGAACTCTTCATATATATATATAGTTTCAGAAGACTTATATAGAAAATGAGACTTATATGGCACATTTCCACATTATTTTTTGTGTCATCAACAGTCACCTTTCATTGTATAGACAAAAGCAGCCTGGGGATTGTGCAAATTGTCTCTTTTTGTGTTTCATGGAAAAAAGCAAGTTACTACAAATATCAAATTTAAAGCTTAAGAGTTATTTAGCAATCACAAGCTCTAAAAGAAAACAAAAATCAGGCTGTATTGTTCTCAGACTTAAGGCTTCTTACTGGCGAACGCAGTCTGGAATTCTGCAGCATAGACCGGCAGAATGCAATGAATCTGGAGTTTTGCCAGCCTTAGTTGGAAGAGGAAAGATACACTTCCATACTTTGTGCCAGTTGTGTTTAAGCCGTCTCTGTGTTTAAACAAACTACTTCTCTCCCATTTGTCAAATGAGATGTGAAAGAAGAAAATGTGGTCACCATTGGTTTCAACATCTGCAGAAGTGTTCTGCTGCGTTTCATGTTGATATAGAGGAGTGTTAACTGCTCTCTCACCTTCAGCGTGTTCTGGCTGATATTATTGATGTCCATCGAGAGGACATGGTCCTTGCAGCCCACGTACATGCGGTCCTGATCCTCATCCATGAAAAGGATCCTGTAGTCCATGGCCTTCTCAGACAAAGTGTAGTGCTCAAAGGATGGGGTTTTCTGTAATTCTGTAATGCAAACACAAACATGTTCTTTTGCATTAGTGTGAGTGAGGTTGAGATGTTTACTTGGGATGCTGCCGAACGCTGATTCAAAAACACACACAGTCTCACATACTTTTACTGAGATGCAGGGCACTTCACTATACCATCAAAGTCTCTCTAATGAAGAGTGATCTCATGAATATTCATTATTGTTTCACATTAGTCATTCACTAATGTATAGAGAAACGGAGGCCACATTGATACCCTCCTCCTCGTCTTTATTCTTTTTTAACACTCTTCTAAAGCCACCCATTTTTGTTTTTCTCTTCAATGTTCAGATAACTCCCTCCAGTTCCAATCAAAGTCACATTTATCTTCTCCACAGACATTTTCTATTCATTTTTGTGCTTTTTATCTTAAAATAAAGAGAAGCCTATGAAGACAAAATCAGCGCAATTCCCACCTTCCTTAGTGGATCTCATGACTAATATCTCCATCCCCTGCTTCCTATTCAAACCAGCACATCCAAAGCATTGGGCAAAATTAGGAATTTAAAAATGTGTCATAAAAAACATTATTGAATATAAAAAAAATATAGGATATATACACCGATATGAACATTTTGGCCAATACCGATAATTTATTATATTTGAAAGACTATAAACGATATATTGGCCAATGCATTTAAATACATTTTTTATAAAATTTTAAACGCCTGACCACTTAACTGTATTTTACTTTTTTGAAGCGATTCCAATCATATTTCAAACAATTCAAATTATTTATCGGCATTAATATATTGGCCAAATTTCGCCAATAACAAAAAAAAAAGAACATAACTAGCCGATAATGATATGGTGGCCAATATATCATGCATCCCTAAAATATGTACTTTAATATATGAATCTCAAATTATTAAATACTTCTCATAGTTCAGTATTCTCAAAACAGCAATCAAATTCATATTAATTTTGCGTTTGCCTTTTGGCATATTCAAATTGTGATAATATTAAAAGCAAAATTTGCATCTATTGTGTGTGTGTATACTGTGTGTTTGTGTTTATATATATATATATATATATATATATATATATACTGTACACTAGTTCTATTGGTGATATTTCATAAATCAATTTTATATTATTTACTTTTTTTAATTCCATTTTGTTCCTTTTAAAATTCACATGTTTCTACCTAAAATTCTGTTTATAATTTTATATTTCAAATTCAATTTAAATTCAGGAGTTTAACGGGACGCCTAACTTTACTTCACTATATTTCTATTAAATCCTAATCTAATTATGACAAATTATATATTGTTGGAAAGGTCTAAGACTTCTAAATAGATATTCTACCCCTGTTTTGTGTTAAAAATTATGTAGGAAGAGTAATTGATGAATTTATGACAAGAGTGCACCTCAAAAAATCTGCATCATAACAGGAGTTTTGACCTTTGTCACAAAAGTTGATGAACCCACTTTTAATCATTGATACTTCTGTTTTTATGCTAAAAGTTCTTAATAAACATATAATCTAGTATTTTTCAATAAAAAATAAAAAATTATAGTACAATATTATCCTCTAAAAATGATAATATTTATATTTATTATCCTCTAAAATATAATATTATTTTTTATCGCCTTTTTTATTATATCACATATTTTAGTAGTTATCATAAATTAGGTATCATTTGAAAGCTTATAAACTCAGAATTCATCGTGTGAAAACTGTTTTATAATTGAAAGTTGCGTTACCATAGAAACGGTACTTATTTTATCAGGCTCCTCCCCTTTTGGGCATCATTATATTTCATAATTTATGATCAAAACCTTTTCTAATCTTGACAAAACTGATATTGTCAGAAAGGTCAGAGTCTCAAGGTTCCAAATTTTGTGACAGAATTAATATTTGGACAGAAATGTATTCATTTGTTAAGGCAGAGTGTATACAACTAAATTCAATGGAATTCAATGGCACCCGGTGGCTATTTTTGGTACTACGCCTAAACAAAATCTCATGGGAACTTCAATTTTTGTGATATCAACTTCAAATTTGGAACATAACTTGATAAGATGTATGGCTTTGATTTTATAGATATTTTAGAGTAAAAAATATTTTATAAAATATATATTTTATATAAAATAAAAAATATATAGTACAGTATATTTAATTTACTGTAAATTTAAACTTCCATAACTTTTTCATTCTTTCATTTTTTGAAGTGTTTTCACTTCAGCAATATTCTGCTGAGTGTTTTCTTTAAAACAAGACCAAACTTGGGTATATATTCCAAAGCATTCTTAAATTACAACCATTTAAGTTTGAATAGTGCATTTTAACCCCCATTCTCAAAAAGGGGGGTGACAGCTAAGGGGTTAAAAGACATTACGATTTTAAAGCGACCAGCACACAAGACGAAGTGGAGATTGTCACCCCAGGCTCTCTGAAGAGCATTGACCGTAGACAGCATGTCTCACCAGACTATTATGGGATTATATTAGTTGACGAGGGCCTTGTCAAACTCGTCATCCTAACGTGGGTTTAATAAAGTGGAGGTGCGGAGGGCAACAGATTACATCAACCAGGCTTCAAAGCACCACGGATAGCATCTCAGTAAGATAACAGTTGCATTATTACTGCTCAAAGAGCTCATCAGGGCGAGACTGCAACGTGCTGCGAGCATGAGAACTAGACAGGAACGAAGACGTGACGTTGCAGAAGAAACATAGGAGGAAGCAGATGTGAGAAAATAAGTATATAAAATGCCTTAAGTATAAAATAAAATGCCTTGAAAGAGGGAGCGAAAGAGAGAAATCCCACTTCTGGTTAGGTTTCAGGAGACTAATTAGAAACATGCAGCTTCTGTAAACTCAGACAGGAATCATGAAGTCCCATTTCGCCCTATTCAGCAGAATAAAGACTTTCAGAAAGATTTTCCTTTCAGAAAATTGCGTTGGTGGGTGAGCCTTTAATTTCAGTTTATTTCAGCTTCTGTTTGAGTTTTTTTAGAACATAAAAATGCTGTGTTGCTCATAACTAACTCTTTCTTTCGTTGCTGGTGTCCTGCACAAAATAGTTCCCAGATATTAAATTCTAAAGGCCCATTCACACCAAGGTTATAATAAACATAATTATAACTATATTAGCATCCACACCATCATAAGGGCTGTCAATGTTGAAAAATCAATCAAGCAATATCCCAACAATATCTTTTCTTTGACTCTTTGCAATTTTTTAACATTATTGTAATTTTAACCATTCTTGTTGTGAACCTTAAGAATAGAATTTAATATTTTCTAAAGGGAATGTGAGTGGTGTTTGCCTGGGCAAACACTTCTAGGGTGTTCTGGGGGATGTTCACACACACACACTCTACCGTTTAAAACTTTTGGGTCTGCTTTAAAGATTTGATCATGTCACATGATCATTCTAATATGGTGATTTGCTGCTCAAGAAATATTTATTATTATTAATGTCAATTGTATTGTGGAATGTATTGATGATTGATGAGTGATTTGATTAATAGGAAGTAGAAAAAAAACAGCATTTATTTGAAATAGAAATAATTTTTAACATTAGAAGAAATGTCATACTGTCACTTTTGACTAATTTAATGTGTCTTTGTCTAATAAACGTTTTAATTTCCCTTTTTAAAATCTTACTAACCCCAAATTTTTGACCGGTAAAGGTTTAGTTCAGTCAGGTTTAGGTTTGAGTGCTTTAGGTTAAGCAATGATTAACCTCAAACTGTTTATTGTGGAATCTGACTTTCATCTATTCTGTCTTTCTAAAACAAATTCTAATATGGTGAAGTAAAAGACAGCACAGTGGGAAACGTTCACAAGACCTTCCCACCCCATGGATAAACAGACACGTGTTCCCCCTCTCGGGAGGATTGTGTGGTGTTTTGTGTCCGCCTGTCCTGACCCCTGAGCTCTGAAAACATGAATCATTCTTAGAGCTATGGACACATGTCTAAGTAAACATTCCCCACTGACAGGTGCTACCACACCTGCTCATAATGCGATTAAGAAGCTGTAGTTTATTTCATATTTGGGTTTATGGAAGAAAATACAACAGAACAGATGATCTAATTTATTCTAAATGTAAAATAATATTTTACTTAAGGTCAAAGGTCACTTAGCAAATTTTTCAGTTAGGTGCAAACAGAGGGTACATCCCAATCCACATACTTATACCATGCACTACAAGTATGCACTTCAGATGGGAAAGTTTTGAGTGTGTAGTAAGACAAATATATAAGAATTGCCTGCTCTAGTCTTATGATTAGTATGTAAATTTGGATGCAACAAGATTTGTTTGAAAAGCATTTTTGGCTAAGCAATTAGCCACCTAACCAATTACAAACGCACAATTAGTTTTAACTAACAAGCTGAATTATGCTTTTATTTGAAACACATTGCATTATTTTTACGTTAAAGCCAATTTTTCTAGGCAGGTTCACCCCAGGTAGCCTGAGTTACAGTAGTTGGATGTCACTTATGTAATGCAGTTTTCAAATCGTGCCAGGCCAGCTGGATTAGGATCAAGGCTTTGACTGCGTCAATGCAACATTCATCTAATTGTTAGCCACTGCAGTGTTAATTTGGCCCGGTGTTTTGGATCATGAACTTTCTGCAAAGCATGTGGGTGCAGATCACAGAGAAACACTGACTGATTGTTTGAAATGAGACTTGAAAATGTCAGTGATTTCTGTTATTCTTTCTGCAGTTTAAATCAATTTGCCAGTAGGTGGCAACAAGTATCTGCCATTATGAATGAGTCATTGAATCGTTCAATCAATCAATCATTTAGTTCAAAATCACTGATTCATTCAGGCGCAGTTACATTTACCGTTGCTTACTGACATTTTGTGGGTAAAAGACGGCTAATTGAAACTGTTTCAATCTTGTTCCAATTGAAACTCTTGTTCAATTGGAACAAGAGTTTCACTTGAATGTGAAAAATGTCCCCACGTACTGTAAATTTAACTCATGTTCAGTTTGGTGATGTGAATTCGCTGC